CAATATGCCAGTCCAATCCAGTATACAGATTGAATAAATATGGTGAAAGAATACAAACCTGGTGCACACCTTTCCTAATTTTAAACTATTAGTGTTCCCTTGATCTAGTCAAATGACTGCCTCTTGGTCTGTATACACAGTTAAGTTCTGGAATAGCCATTCTTCACAATGTGATCTCTCGTTTGTCATGATCCACCCAGTCAAATGTCTTTGCATAGTCAGAGAAGCACACATAAACATCTTTCTGGTAATTTTCAGCTTTCAGCCAAGATCCATCTAACATCAATAGTGATATCCTTCATTCTGAATCTGTCTTGAACTTCTTGCAGTTCCCTTTCAACGCTCTTTTTTTTATACCATGACTTTATCTGTATGCTCATAGATGAATGTTTTCTCCTTTCAAATTTGTATACTTCTTTGTTTCTTTAAGGAGTCCCTGTGATGCAGTGATTACAGCCCTCGGCTGCTAACCAAAAGGTCAGTAGTTTAAATCTACCTGCTGTACTGTGGGAGAAAGATGAGGCAGCTTCCTTCCTTAAAGATTTATAGCCATGGAAACCCCAGGGGACTGTTCTACTCTGTCTTATAGAGTGACTCTGAGTTAGAATTGACTTGGTGGCATTGGGTTTGAGTTTTTTGTTATTTGTTTTGATCAGGTACACTGACTGAGTCTTTCAGAATGCTAATAGTGGAAAGCGGAGTCATCCTTGTTTTGTTTCTGATTTCAATGGGAACACAATTTTTTATAAGGAAGTTTATTCTGGCATGTTCAATTTAAAATGAAAAACAAATTAAGGAGATACTCAAATTTTTTTATGTTGTAATTTCATTCATCAGAACAAGTGAAGATGTACCATTTTCAGGTATTATTCGTATTTCTGAAGACAGTGCTAAACTCAATACAGCAAACTGCTGTCATAATAAGTAAAATAAATCCCAAAAGAGCTACTATAATGGAATTACCTAACTCAGCAAGTTCCCCTTAAAAATGCTGGCATGACTCAATTAGCTAACTAGATTATGTCAAAAGAGAGGTATGTATGCTTTGGGTTGTCAATCAAGATGGAGGATTGGGTAGATGTACAGGTAGGAGCTCCATCACCAACAACACAGAATATAGGGCAAAGCAGGCTCAAGGGATGGTGCTAGAACTCTGAACCACACATAAAGGAATATTTAGAAGATTGGAAGGCTTACAACTAGGGGAATTTGTAGGAGAATCAAGAAATCCAATGTTTTCTAATTCAAAACACTCAGCTATACTCGGAGTTGCCATCTTGGGAGAGAACAAGTGGGGGAGGGATCAGAACAGCCACAAACGCCTGACAGAACCGAGGAGATACAGGTGTGCACATTCATGTTTTTGGTATCTGTCCATTGTTCACTGGTCTCTCCCTGACTGCGCACCTCCATTCTGATAACTAGAGGGGATATCTGAGCGAATAGATACCCCACCTCCGGAGGGTTCTACTACACATGTGCACAAGATCTCCTTGAAATTTAAAGTGACAGTTTCGACATAAAACCAAATGGCCACCACTCATCTGTCTGTTGTACTGTGGTGGCTTGGAAGTTGCTGTGATTCTGAGGGCAATGCTACTGTTATTATAACCAGCAGGGTCACCCATTGTAGACAGGTTTCAGATGAGCTTCCAGACAAAGACAGACTAGGAAGAAAGAGTGACAAACTACT